TCTAATATTTACTTTTTTTTTTTCCTGGCTGAACCAGGGATTGAACTCAGACCCTTGCCCTTGCCAGGCAAACGCTTATTCTACTGAGCTATCTCCCTGGCCTATATTTACCATTTTTGAAACAATTCCACCAGTCTGAAAGTCTTTAAAATCTTAGAACACAGTTGCGAATTCACCTTTAATCCATCACTCTGACCCCAAGCACATGACTGGCTAAGCAAATGACTCTGCACTGTCTGTTGTTTGAGATTCACCTTTAACAAAAAACCATCTATCATGCCAACATGTGAAGTGAATAGCAGGAGTCATGTCTTTCCGTGAATGTCTGTATTCTGCAGGCATAAAGCCCGTGGTTCTAAATCCCTTCTTGCTGAGCATCTGTAACCCCAGCACTCTGGGAATCTGAGGCAGGAGGACTGCAGGTTCCACACCCCCTGGGCAACGTGAAACCCTGTCAAAACGAAAGAACTGTAAATGTAGATGTAGCTTGGTGTGAATGCCCTAGATGTGATCCCTCATGTGACCCAAAAAGCCCAGTCTCATTTCTTTTTCCTGTTGTCAACAATCTCCTAGTTATTTTGGGACTCATTAAACCAGTCTCAGTTTATTCATTTGAAAACAGAGGAGCTGCCTTATAAGGAGCCGGTACTACTGAGTAAAGACAGCCAGTAAAGACGGATGTTTACTGAGTCCCCAGTGCTGCTGAGGGGAAGGCGCTAGACTGCAGGTATCTCAGCTTAAAGATGGATGTGGCTCCCTGTTAACTGTTTCTGAATAGCTACCTCGGGCTGGGGAGATGGCTCAGTGGAATAAGCGCTTCCCTGGCAAGCGCAAGGGTCTGAGTTCAATCCCCGGTTCTGCAAAAAAAAAAAAAAAACTGAGTAGCTACCTTGCCTTGCAACTCCAGCAAGGTAACACTGAAGGCTCGAAGAGCTGGGGACCCCAGTTGTCGCAGTTTTCTTGGGTTCCCCAAGTAGCACACTTTTCTCACCATTTTCCTATAGAGCAAAAAGGAGCCATTCCAGTCATCATTGGTACACAACCATGTGTATTTTCCCAGTCTAGGTTGTCCTGGTTTCCTGGTATTCAGTTTTCATGTTGTCTAAAGTTCTGAACCTGGATATCCCTAAGGTTTTTTTTTTTTTTTTAAGCTGAAAATTTGATTTTTTTATGTATCAGCTGACTAATCCTCTTGGCCAGGTGACAGACTTCATCAAGAAGCTTCTCTTTTGCGTGCAGGTGGGTGACAGCTAAGTGCTCTCCCCCATCTTTTCTCCCTCTGCTGTGCCAAGAACTGGGGCCCGTGCTGTCCCGCACCTGTCCTAACCCCCGGAAGCTTGGGGTGCAGGCCCAGAAAGTGGAGGAGCAAATGCAGAGGCTCGGTCAGGCTCGGTGGGCCTTGGTGGCCAGCAGGTGCTGGGCCCCGAGAGGCCCTTCCTAAGGCCTCTCCTCATCTCCACAGATTACTCTCCCTAATTCCATGCCCAGCTTCCCGGCATTCTCTGTCAGAAGTCACAGGGTAAGGGGCTGTTGCTTCACGTCGGCCAGGCCCAGTGGAGAGTCAGGCCCCCGGAGCTGCGGCTGGCTTCCCCCATGCCCCAGCCTCCCTGAGTCAGCAGCTCTGCCCCAGGTACTCCGGGCCTGGAAGCTGTCCTCTGCTCAATTGTTTGGCTCCGGGAAATAAGGCCACACAGAAAAACAGTTTGGGATTGATTCAGACTTTTTTAGCTCTCAGGCAACAGCAATTATTATTCTCCCCTTCCTCCAAATAACTTGTGGCTGGGATCAATTTTTGGAAACTTTTACATTTGAGTAATGTATTGGATAAGTGGGCTGAGATGTTCTAATTGTGCTGGGAGAGGGCTATGTTGTTTTATTCTTGGTGTCTTTTACGAGTCGCTGATGTCTTAGACAAGAGTTTTTCCCCCCTTCGGGTTTCTGAAAGGATGCTGCATAACAGAGAAGAGATTTTGATTAAAATTACAGAACTAGAAATTAGCTAGCAAAAAAATAAATAAAATAAAAAAAATAGAAATTAGCTAGCCTTTGGAGAGCTTTGATGGCCTGTTTTTGTGGGTGTGCACAGAAGAGGTTGGTTTTTTTTTTTTTTTTTTTTTAAAAAAAATATTGAACTCAGGCCCTTTTTTTTTTTTTTTTTTTTAAAGGGGGAGCAGAGAGAAGGATTAAAGGGGGTACACACGCTGTCTTCCACCCCCCACTTCCCTCAAAGAGGAGTATTTTAAGATGAGTGAGGTCGCAGTCCAGGCTCTCCCTGGGCTCCGGAGCAGAGTACAAAGGAGGCCTCCTCCTCAGTCTGTGGGAGAGCTGGCTGGCAGTTCTGCCACCAGCCAGGTGACAAAAGGCCTCCTTTGTAGGACAGAGGCCAAACACCTTCCCCCAGACTGGCCTTCAGTTAATCCCTGTCTCCTCTGACTGCATTGACACCCCCCCCCACCCCACTATGCACACAAGCTGTCCTAGCTAACGTGTTGAGTCACCATTATGTTTATTGGCTACACCTACTAACTACAACAGGTTTCCAAGTTTCTGCTCTGGAAACAGAATTCCCCTCTAATTTGAGAAAATAAACTTTCTAGAACAGACCCACTGAACTAATGGACAATTCCCAATCTTTTTAGCATTGTGGGAACCAGTTTTGGACTTCTGTAATTGCCTATCTCTCCCACCTTGGATTTTTGGGGGAGTTTTTGTTTTGCTTTTTTTTTTTTTTTTAATACCGGGCATTAATCCCAGAGCCTCACTCATGCTAGGCAGGCACTCTGCCACTGAGCTACACCCACCGTCCCTCTTCTCTTTCTCTTTTATTAAATTTGACTTTTCTTTTCAAAAACTCATAGAGAAAGTTTGCATAACCTCTCATTATTTGCCACTTCCCAAAGTAGTATTAAACCAGCATTGAAAAGCACTGCTATAAATTGAATACTTATTATTGGCCTCAGTCACATCAGTTTAAAAGTTGAATATGCAGTTGCTATACAGTGGTTAGTATCAGTTGGTTCACTTATACTCTGAATTACTTTAATATTCTTTTTTTTGTGTGTGTGTGTGTGTAACCAGGGATTGAACTCAGGCCCTTGTGCTTGCCAGGGAAGCACTTATTCTACTAAGCCATCTCCCCGGCCCCCAGACGCAGACCCGGGACTTGAACCTACGAACTCGCGCTGTAGAGCCTAATGCGTAAACCACTATGCTATCTCTCCAGCTCTTAATATTCTAATATTTGCTTGATTGCAGGAAATCTTCACCGAACCAGCAGCGTGCCTGAATATGTCTACAACCTGCACTTGGTTGAAAATGACTTTGTTGGAGGGCGTTCCCCCGCCACTAAGACCTATGACATGCTGAAGGTAGGCCATCACAGAGCATAGCTCTCAACAGCAGATCGCCAGGAAAACATTTCCAAGTCTTTCTTTTTTTCTTTTCTTTTTTTTTTTTTTTTTTTTTTTTTTTTTTTTTTTTTTTTTTTTGTAATTTTAGTAAGAGTCTATGGGGTCTTACTACCTAGATTGGACTCATAGTGATCTGCCTGTGTTCAGCCTCCCAAGAGCTGGGACTACAGGTGCACACCACCACCAGGCCCAGTCTCAATCACCATCTCAGCATGCCCCGTGTGTGGGGCCAGCGCAGCACACCAGGGATTGAACCCCGCTCACCGTGTGCCGCCTAAACAGGTGCTTTAATCCCCTGATCTATTTGGCCAGCCCCTTAAAAGTTGATAAGGATTTTTTTTGGTGGGGGCGGTGGCTGGCTCAGGCTGCATAAAGGGTGGGTCTGGTAAGGCATGTAGAGCTAGGAATCAAACTGCGGTACTCTGCATATGACTGGGTTTGCCCAAGCAGGCACTTAAACAGCTGAGCTAACCCACAAACCCTCCAAAAGAGACTTTTTTTTTTTGTGGTACTAAGGATTGAACTCAGGACCTTGCACTTGCCAGGCATGTGCTTATTCCACTGAGCTATCTCCCAAGCCCATAAGTCTTCCCTTTCTTTTCTTCCTTTTTTTCTTAATTACCTGTCCTTCCTGAAGGAACTCTGAGAAAATTGGTTTTGTGTGGACACAAAGGAAAACTGGACTCTAAACAGTATGAAATAATGACCTGAACAGTATGCAGATCAGTGAAGTCGACCACGCCCCGTGAGAGAAGACTTCATCAGCCAGAGGCAGCTTCTCCATCTGACTCAGACGAGCAGATGTCTTGTGCCTTGCGTCTTCCACAAGGGCAAAAGCTGCTCTTGTGCCTCACTTGAATTTTATTTTTGTCCTGCAGGCTGGGACCACAGCCACCTACGGCGGTCGCTGGGGGCGAGGGACACTGCAGTACAGCTCCCAGAAGTCAGTGGAGGAGAGGCCCTCGCGGCAGCCACTGAGGAGGCTGGAGATCTCCCCAGACAGCAGCCCTGAGAGGTTCCGCTATGCACACAGTGAGCACCACTACAGTCAGAGGAGCCAGCAGGGCCTCCCCCGGCGACACCAGGACAGCCGGCGGTCCGCACTCCTCACCACCCCAAGATACGCCCGCTCCGAGGCCGGGGGCTTCACCCACACTGGGGCGGTGAGCAGGCAGTACCACTATGACACCTACCACAGACACCACCAATATGGGTCTGCCAGCGACAGCGTCTTTGACCATGTCCTCGTCACCCCCGCAGTGCTCACCTACCCCCGGCCAGGCACCAGTCACAGCATGGGCAATCTCCTGGAGAAAGAGAACTACCTGAGTACAGGACCTGCCTCCGGGCAGGTGCGACCACTGGTGCCCCTTCAGCCAGTCACTCAGAACAGGGCCGCCAGGTCCTCCTGGCACCAGAGCTCATTCCACAGCACGCGCACGCTGAGGGAAGCTGGGCCGAGTGTCGCTGTGGACTCGGGGGGCCGGAGGACACACATGACCGTGGGCCAGGTGGCCGCAGCAGGCAGTGGAAATCTGCTGCTCGAGAGAAGCGCTGTCACGGACCCACAGCTGGGGTGAGTGTCCTCCCAGTCATGCTGCCCGGGCAGTGCCAGCCCACTCTGTCCCTGAGCCCGACAGACACCTCAGCCTGTTTACTTCAGGGACAGGGCCAGTCCCAGAGTGGCTGCTGGATAAAGGGATTGAGGCCCCTCAGCTCGGTGCAGATCTGCTCAAAACAAGAGCAAATGACAGGGCAGACAAAAATGACAGTGGCGTGTGCCTGCTGTGTATCACTTCTGGGATTGCAAGCAGGAGGCAGTGAAGATGCCCGTTCCAGGTGCTGAGGTGAACCTCAGGGCTGGTTTGGGTCATTATAACCCAGAGCAGTGGTGGTGGCCCTGTGGCCCACATGCTGCAGTGGGCTGTTGGTAGCACTGGGAGCTCTGTACAGCTCACCGTCACTGCCGTAGAGTGGCAGAGCCAAGCCGAGGCAGCTGATTTGTACAGGTCTCTCCCCACTCCGTGATCTCGATCCCTTCACCTTTGGTTCCTGTATCAGTGAAGTGGAGAGCCTTTTTTAGCAAATTTAAGCAATCAAAACAACCGAATTATCCAAGTCATCCTTTGCCTTTCTTATTTCTTTCATGACTTGCCCAATTTCATTTTGAGGATTTAGCCCTTATTCAAGTTTGATGCACAAGTGAAAATCTGATGAATAGAGAAAGTTACCAAGAGAAAGATCTTGAAATGGGCAGTAAATCAGTAACTGCTTTTTTTTTTTTTTTTTTTTTGTATTTTTAGGGAAGGGTCTACAGTGGGTTCAGGGTCCCACTACTAGATTGGACTCTAGTGATCCACCTGTTTACAGCCTCCCAAGAGCTGGAATTGCAAGCAGGCACCACCACACTGAGTCTCAATTACTATCTCAGCATGCCCTGGAGGTGGGATCAGCACAACAAGCTGGGGGATCGAACACCCCCCCCCAAGCCCTGCGCCTGAGCTATTTGGCCAGCCCTAAATCAGTAACTCCTGCAATAAGGACCTAGAATATTTAGACAAAACACGAGCATACGGTTGTTGTTTAGTGTTGACGCTGTTTAGGGATAGTTCTCTCACCAATCCTTCGCACACCCGTTGATGAGGTAGGTGCCAGTGGTGTACCGCTTTCCAGAAGGGGCCTGGGACTCATCCAATCTTGAAGCAGGCAGTGTTTTTCATAAGACACAATGTAGCCTGAGACTTCTAACATTTCTTTTTTTGTTGTTATTTTTCTTTGGGGGGGGGTGGCTACTGAAGATTGAACCCCAGGCTTTCAAACAAAGCTGTACACTATCTCTTCCTTATTTTTGTTTTATTTTATTTTATTTATTTATTTATTTATTTAGAGATAGGGTCTCACTAAGTTACCCATGCTGGACTCAAACTTACAATTCTCCTGCCTCAGTGTCCCAGAGTGCTGGGATTCCAGTGCGTACCACCATCCCCAGCTAACATTTCTTGGAGAGATAAGATCAGGTATTTGTCAATCTGAGTACATTTATGAAGAAAACCACATCAAATAATTATTTATGTAAGAAAAAGCTGATAAAGGCTTAAAATGGATAATTCAAAATTTACCAGATGCCTGCATCACCTCGGTATAAACAAAGCTCCCACCTCACGTCCTCCAACAGCTGGCACTGTGCTTGTCCTCCGACTCTGTCCCTTATGCTTCTCGGTCCCCGTCACACTCCCACCTCAGGAGCCCCATGCAGTGTGGCTTGCAGCTCCACTTTGCAGGGATATTACCCTGACAGATGTCACTGTGATCCCGTCCTGCCACATCCTCGGCAAGAACACGTGCGGCCTCTGTGGCAGCTGTCATCTGACACGTGAATGCCCTCCCTTGTGTTCCAGGCGCCGTCCTCTCCTGGCCTCCCATCTACTCCCTCGGTCCATCTTCCCTGCGAGCGCTTTCTCTGCAGGCCCAAGAAGGCAGCTTCAGTCACTCTTTTCTTCCAAGCTCGGGCTTCATGGGGCTCCCCAGTCCTTCACAGGCGTCCTCGTGATTTCTGGAATGTGCTCTTTAGCCCTGTCTTCCACCTCAGCTCCAGGTGTATGCATATGTCATGGACACCCTAAACTTAGCGTATCCTAGACTAAGTCTGAGTCTTGGTTCCTGTCATCCCCTTCTGCATGCACCCGTTGCAGGCCTGCGAGTCTCTTCCTTGGCCCTCCAGTCACAGAGCCGTATTTTCCCTCCTTCTGTGCCTCAGTCCCCTCCTTCTGTCCTCTGCTTTTCATAGGTCCCTCTGCCCTAGCCTTGCGCAAAACTGTGCTCCAAGGCCATCGTCATTGGCTTCCTCATGCGTGCTTCCCTTCCCCAGCACCTGTTTCTACCTGCACTTCTTGTTGCGGGCTCTGTTCTCTCCGCTCCTGTCACTCCTGTCCCCAACCACTCAGACCCTTTACAGCCTCCCTTGCCTCCCTCGCTGCAGGACACAGCACGGGTCACACCCCTCCTCCTTCCCTTTCTTCACACTGTTCCCCCAGCTCCAGATATTTCCACTTGGCCTCGGCTTCTCCCAGCTCGGCTAATTCTGGGTTTCACTCAAGTACCACTGTTTTCCTGCCCACAGCAGCCCTGCAGGGACATCTCCATCCAAGTATTTATTGTGGTTACTCATTTACTTACCTTGTATTCCTAGACTTTGAGCTTCTCGCCAGTATTTTATCTGTCTTTATATTCTCCGCCCTGTTTGAGTGGGCAAAGGAAATTTTCTTAGCATCTCACCAAAGGAACACTTGGAGCCAAGACATTGTGAACAGTAAACGGTTTTCCTGGGATTCCCCACACTCCAGAGACTAGACATGAGAAAAATGAGTGCTTTTCTATGATTTCTGAAGGGAAAATTTGGGTTTTGTTCTTTTCTCCATTCTTGTTCTGTTAGTGAATGTTTGCGGTACACAATGGGTACGTTCTTTGTGGGGCTTGGTACGTGTGCGCGCTGCGTCTTGATTCATTTTTTATTCCCTTCTTCCTTTCTCTTTCCTCTATCTCTTGGTCCTATGATTTCTTTTCTTTTTGCGGGGGTTTGCTCTACATCTTTTTTAAAAATCAGATTTTAATGTACATTTTAGACACATGATGATCACATTCATCATAGAGAATTTGTACCTATACATGATAGAACTTGGATTTCTTTCCCACTGCCCTACCCTCAGTTCAACCCTTCCTTCCATCCTCATTTACAAAAATACTGTTTACATTTTTTTTTTCTCTCTCTCTTTTTTTTAAATGTATTTGGTATGGGTTCTACAGGGTCTACTGGGTCTCACTACTTAGATCAGACTCGTAGTGATCCTCCTGTTTTTAGCCTCCTAAACGCTGGGATTATAGGCGCCCACCACCACACCCAGTCTCAATAGTGGTCTTAGTGTACCCCGGGGGCAGGGCCAGCAGGGGATTGAACCCTGGCCGATACACTCTGCCTAAACAGGCCTTTTAGTCCGCTGAGCTCCCCTTTTTTTTTTTCTTCTTTTCTCATTTTTTTTAAACTTTCCCTTCCTTTCTTCCACCTCTGTTCCCCTCCCCATTTGAAAATTTTCTTCTTACTGGTTCAATGGTTTCTTTAAAAAAAAAAAAAACAAAAAACTATTTATGTATTTTGTACATGGTTTCACTACACAGCTCAGACTTGTAGTGATCCTCCTGTTTTCAGCTTCCCCAGCTCTGGGATTACCCAAGGTGTGACCCAAGGCACCCAGTTTCAGTGGCTGGCACAGCAGATGGTACCTGGGATCGAACCCAGGTCCTTGTGCTTGCCAGGCTGGTGCTTAGACCACTGAGCTATCTCCCTAGCCCAGTCTTGTGGTTTCTGAAGGAAAAAAATTGTGTTCTGTAAAGGAGCAAGAGCTGAAGGAATTTTCTATGGTGAGAAAGATGCTGATTCTCCCCGAGGCGATGCTGCGCCGCCTGGCCATGCCTGCCTGGCTCACACACATCCAGAAGGCCAGTCCCGCAGCCACACTCTGCTTCTCTACCCTGTTGTCCCACACTTCAAACTACACTAGGCCCTTGACTTACAAACTCGATTTGTTCCCAAGGGCTGGTTGTGACTCGGGTTGTCCACTGCAGGCTCCGGCTCCACAGCCTTCCAAGTCTCTTTGCTGCATATAGCAGATCTAGTGTCCCGGTAGACAGTGGCCCAGGATTTCTCAGTTAACCCCACACAGGCAAGAATGCCATGTTCCCTCCAGAACTCTTTAAGGGTTAGATTTGCATCTGAGACCACCCGGAAGCATGAGTGGCTGGCATTCGGGTCCGAATATGAGACTTTGGTCGTAGGCTAAAACTCAAATTCTGGTGATAACTCAAGTTGTTCCAGCGTCAGGCCAGCCCTAACTCGAGGCCACACTGGCCTGGCTCCTGTTCGGTGGGCTGAACTTTTCATGCAAGCACAATGCCGTCATGTTCCCTAGGAGTGTTCTCTCCTAGATGTGAAATGTTCTGTGGAATAGCTAAATACGGAATAACGCCACAGGAAGACGGAAAGTATCACACCATGGATCTTCCCAAAAGAAGACGGGCCGGGCAGTGTTCAAAACCCTGAGTAAAAGAGAGACCTCCATTGCCTGTTCTACATCACAAGGATGAGCCCAGCATGAGTCACACACCCGTAATCCCAGCACTCCGGGAGGCTGAAGCAGGAGGATTGTAAATTCTAGTCCAGCCTAGGGAACTGGGTAACTAGTGAGACCCTGGCTCAAAGGAGAGAGAGATAGACACAGAGACAGAGAGACAGGTAGGGAGAGAGAAGGAGAGGGAGATGGGGGAGAGGGAGACGGGAGAGAGGAGGGTGACAGAAAGAGGAGGGGGGAGGGAGGGAGGGAGGGAGCGAGAGCACAAGCCAGTGAGCTGGGGATGTGGTTCAGTGTGAGGGACCTGGTTCAATCCACAGTACCCAGGTGGGTAGGGAGCCAGAGATGCCCCCCGAGAGAGCCAGAGACTCAACAAACAGCTTCTCCCATGCACCCAGCACTCCCAGAAGCACCAAGGAGATAAAAATTGAGTGACAGACAGAAGGTTGAGAAG